AGAAAATAACCACCTTTAAGAGGCTCTAGACGAATCAAACAAGCGTAAAAGCCGCAAGCGGCGATACGTACGGACAGAAGAGACTCTTACTGTAGGCGAGGTACAAGAAGTATTAGCTGAACAGGCGGGTAGTAGTCGTGGCGACGGTGAGAGTGCGTCGAAGAGGGTGCGAGGAGAGAGGCGGTGCGGGCGTTGTAAGCAGACTGGACATAACGCTCGTACCTGCGCAGTTGATATAGATAGTGCAAGTGATAGCAGCGATTCTAATAATTAATTTAGTATATTGTAATAGTTTATTGACTGTGATAAAAGTGCGTGATAACGTCTCGACGTCGACGCGCTGGTGGGGCGTGAGCGACTCGCTTGGGTGAGCGACTCGCTTGTGAACTACGTTATCCACTATCTTATTCTCTCCCTACACCTACTCTGCATGCTCGTATTTTTGCTCATGGACACCAATAGCACTGCATCCAATATTAGTCTTTTACTTGACACCAAAGAGAATCAACAAACTCACCGGCCAGAAGGATCCGTCTGGTTACTCCACGTCGGCGTCCACCGCATCACCGTGTGGGCACAGTAGCTGGGAAAGTGCTCGTCAAACATGCAGCGGTACCAGTACGCCTCCTTGCTATCCGGAATGTCGGAGCCCCACTCGGGTTTGGGGTTCTTCATCATCTCGTCGGTAACGTGCAGCTCGGCGTTGTCCTTGAGCGCGTCGATCCAGCCGTAGCCCACGCCGTCGGAAAACTGCTCCTTCTGGCGCCACAGAATCTTGTCGGGAAGGTACGGCGCCGTGTCGGGCTCGTCGCTCGTGTCGAATGCCTTGCGCAGAATGTACTTTTCAATGCGGCCCGCCTTGCGGTCAATCATCTTGTCCGCTGGGTCAATGTTCATGGCCACGTTGAGAAACTCCTTGTCCAGGAAGGGCACACGGGCTTCAACGCCCCATGCCGACGTCGACTTGTTGGCACGCAGACAGTCGGCAAGATGCAGGTTCTTGACGCGCCGGATGCATTCCTGGTGGAACGCAGCCTTGTCCGGCGCATTGTGGAAGTAGAGATATCCACCAAAAATCTCGTCGCTGCCTTCTCCTGAAAGCACCATCTTGACGCCCATGGCCTTGATCTTTCGGCTCAGCAGGAACATGGGCGTGGATGCGCGGATCGTCGTCACGTCAAACGTCTCGAGGTGGTAGATGACATCGGTGAGCGCGTTGAGACCATCCTCAATCGTAAAAGTAAACGTGTGGTGCTTTGTTCCGAGGAGGTTGGCTACTTCTTGTGCGGCAATGGCGTCGGGAGCGTTGGGCAGACCAATCGAGAACGAGTTGAGCTGTCCGAGGAGAAGGTCCGTCTGAAGCTCGTTGGAGTCATCGATTCCCACGAGTTGGTTCTGCTCCTCGCTAGCCTTTCCGCCCGCCGCAGCTGCCTTTTGCCTTATTTGCTCGTTCAACCGCAGAGTCTCCCGCTGCGCTATCGAGGCCACAAGACTTGAGTCGAGACCGCCAGAAAGCAGCACGCCAAACGGCACTTCTGCCATCATGCGTTTCCGCACTGACCGCTCAAACGACTGCCTCAGCTCCTTGTAGTCTACGGGTGTTGTGGGAATGCTCTCGGGCTCGACAAGCCACTTGGGGTCGTAGTAGCGCGTGAGCGAGTCGGTTTTCGAGTCGTAGACGTGACCAGGAGGAAAGGAAATAATGTCGTCGCATACGGGATGCAGGCACTTGAGCTCGGAAGCGAAGAAGACGGCACCGGGCGTTGTGCTCGACCGACCCATATAAAAGGTGGTGATGCCAATAGGGTCTCGCGCGGCGATTACACGATCTTGAGTCTTGTCGTGCAGGACCCATGAGAACATGCCGTCCAGCTTTCGGGGCGCATCGATGTCATGCTCGAGGTACTAGTATGCATCAGCGCTGTGTCCTCGCTGCAAAACCGCTGTCCCTACCAGAGGAATAATGACTTCGCAATCCGAGTGCGTCTTGAAGTTGTAGGGCGTCTTGAGGGTTTTGCGAAGGATACGATGGTTGTAGATCTCGCCGTTGACGGCCAGGGAAATGGTTTCCTCGTCGTTGACGAGCGGCTGCGCTCCGGAGTCTGTCCATGTAAGCGTCGACTACACTGCGTTTGTCGCGTGGCCACATACCGACGCCGACAATACTCAGGCGCTCGTGAACCAAGACTGCCAACCGTTAGGATTTTCTCTGACCCAATTTATCACGTCATGCTTACTGCTATCGTTCGCAATCCAGTTGCCACCTGCAAAGTTTCAGTTATCGTGTTCGCCGGCGCATATTGTGGTGACTGACTCCAATCTGGGCCCCGATGTCGGACACTATGCGCAGCCGGTCAATTGCAAGCCTCCAAGTACTATCAGGCAAAAACTTACGCCTTGCCCATTTTCAGGGCCGTCGGCTTGAACTTCTGGACATCGGGGTGTCTTTGAAAAAGTTAGTGACTGGCTCCGAGCGCATCGTGGAGGGGCAGCCATGGGTGCGTGGCAATTGTGGCATACCTGTAGCACGCGAAAATACCACACATGTTTGCGACTGTGAGGGAGGAGGGAGGGAGAGTGGGAGTCAGAGAGAGAGAGAGAGAAAAGGAGCGCTTTATCGTGGTCGAAAAGCTATTGTCAAACCACTGGAGTCATATTAGCCCTCCGGCGGACGGAGCCCCACCATGACCGCCAACCCGCGCTCACTACGCGTGTGGTCGCGGCATGGCGGTGTCCACTATCGCAGGCCGGCAAGGATGTAGCGTCTGGTGACACCGCGGCAAACCGGTGGAGTGTGATATTTCTCGGTTCAGAATGGGGACTTTACATGACGTCCATACGCCACCCCACAATGGACATTCGCAGCCCCGCCTATTGGCTGATGGCCTCACCAACATACATGTCTTCATGGCCGCCGTGAGCCTCATGACAACGACTGGCGCATCCCTCTGCTTAGCTCAGCTGCCGCCGCCTGGACAGGTCATGTCACTGAACGCTAGCAGTGACTAATCAAATTCATGCACGCTCTGATAAAGAGAGGCCATCTCCTCCATGGCGGCGTAGAGGATACAAGACAAAGTACCAATAAAGCAGACTCGAGATAGCCAGTCAGATAACTTAGATTAACCAGGTTTTAGCGCTTACTGGCCTCTCAAATCTTCCGCGGCCACGGTAACGTGCCGACCGCCTTTTCCAGCTATCGGAGCCTTCATATCTAGACTACCGCCGATTTATCCAACACGTGCCTTGGCCAACCTCTGCCCGTGAGCAGCTCCACGCAATACCAGTGTACATGGACATGAAGAGATTCAAACAATTTCAGGCGCTACAACTCCGGATAGTGTACTTGTTGATACATGAATGCTTTCCACGCGGATATGCTCATGCGTCCCTAGCAACTGCTACCCCGTATGCGTAACCAACGAGAGGTCTAGGACCAAGCAGAAATATAGCCACAAAGAAACCAACCCGATTAACACTCCTCTTGTACAGCGCCATCCCGCACCGTCTCCCTACTTCTGCTGCCTTGCTTATTGAAAGATACTAACCCCAATCCCGCGCCTTGTCACCTTCTGGGTCGGCGCCCCCCCCGATAATGTGGGCGTGGCGTGGCGCTTAGAAAAGGAAATAAGCCAAAAGGAAGCTAATGAGACAGAGAAGAGCAGTAATATGAACAGGAACTCCACCAGCGGGGGCTTGTCGCGCTTCGGTAGCAGTTGCCATTTGTGACTTGGAGTCTTGCGCCGAATCCGTTTTGCGCTGGCGGAGGCCACTGGCTTCGCTGACCTGCTGTGACAATCGTGCAATCTGCGCCTTGGCTTCAGCGAGCTGGGCCTCGAGTTCCCTGGAAGAAGGCATGGCATTCGAGAGGCTTGCAGCAGCCGAGTTCAAGACAGCCTGAGCACCGCCTCCTGTCGCCGGGTTGTATGTCTCATTCCGAATTTCTCCCAGGTTCTTGCTGTCGCTCGGGCGCTCTTGCGGGACGGAGACTGGACCTGAAGCGTCAGACACGCCGCGCTGGGGAGTGACGGCCTCGTGCGAGGGCGATGGCGAGGGCACCATCGAGTCACGGCTCAGGGAGTTGGACTTGGCAGGAGTGGCACCGGGGGCAGCATCGTCGGGGGCGAGGAAAAGGACCCTAATCTTCTTCTCTTGAATCGAGGACTTGGACGTTTGTTCAATGTGCGACCACTGCCACACGCGGTTAGCAAAGTCTCGGCCTCTGACCCAAATGTCGCAGGCGTACCAAAGACCCAACATTGGCAAATTCCTTGTCGGCAGTGACCAGCACCGACTGGACGAGGAACTTGTCGCGGCACTTTGCGTCTGGCGGCGGGTCCTCTTTCATGGCCTGGAGGAGAACTGGGCGCATGTGTCAGCTCATGGCAACATTTCGGTGGGGTGCGCGCATCGAGTCATGCGTACTTTGCACTTCGACCTCCTTTCCGGGCTCAATACGCCCGCTGTTTGGCCTGACGCAATATCTAGAGGAGCCTCGTCAGTGGTGGCGGCAAAGGAAGGGGTCGCGGGCGGCGTACTGCTTGGGAGCCGTGGTCTTGACCTTTTGCATGTGTCAGCAGGGCGTCCGAGCATACGGCTGCCGTGTAGCAGAGAACAGCAAGGCCTTGCTCACCTTGAAGGCAACGGGGTCCGAGTGCGGGTTCTTCAGGCGGAGGGTCTGCGACACCTCGTGCTGAAAGGGTCCTGGCCAGCGTGTTAGCACTGCTGCACGCGTCCAATGCCGGCGACGGGCGCCTACGCTTGAACCCAAGCTCTACGGGATCGAGCTCGACCGACATGATGAGCGCACGCGGGCTGGTGGATATGCTGCTATGTGGATGTGGATGTGGATGTGGCGGGTGGGTGAGTGGTGTTGGTAATCAGGTACTGGGTCTGGGTCTGGGTCTGGGTACGGGCCTGGGTACGGGTACGGGTCCGCAGCGGCAGAGTCGAGTCGCGGCCAACCTCGGGAATGATAGGCGAGCAGAGGGATGTGTAATTGAGGGCTTGAGTCGAGTGGGAGAGAAGCGCAGGCAGCAGACGGCGGCTCGGGGCGGTCGGAAGGAGTCGCGGGTGGGCAGAGGGAGAGGGAGACGATGACGTTGCTTCAGCGCTGCCGTGAAAGCAGCGAGCACGAGCACGAGCACGAGTCGCGCCAGTGACGCTTTTGGCCCAGGCAGCGCTTCTAGTGGCCGGCACAGCCAAGTGCAGGTGCAAGTACGCCTTCTGCTGCGACGACGCCGACGACGCCGACGACGACGAGCTCCAGGTCGCAGCCCCAGCACGGCGACGCAGTGCAGCCTCTCAGCTGCATGCTGCTAGCACTTCACGGTACCACTACCAGCAGCGCCCGCCCAGCAGATCCACGCTCCACCTTCTCCCACATTCCGCACCCTTCCCCGCTACCGCCTGCACCACTTCGTATATAAGACCGCCCCAGCCAGCGGGACCCCGGATTGCCCTGACTGCAACTCCGGGCTGGCTTGCTTGTCCCATCAACCGCCAACTCGCCTGCACACAATTGCTGGACACGCCTCGCCACTATCCCCGCCACCTGCCTCTCGCTCGCCAACGCTGCACACACACCATGGGCTCCGATCTAGATGCCCTGGTCGACATGGGCTTCGACCGCGAGCGCGCAGAGCTTGCCGTCAAGGTCTCCGGGGGCCTTCAGCCCGCCATCGACTGGCTCGAGGCCAACCAGGACAAGTCCATCGACGAGATCAAGGCAGCGCAAGCAAGCTCCGCCGCCGCCGCTTCGGACGAGCCCCCCGCCCTCCAGCCCGGCGAAGAGGCCAAGTCGCTCGTCTGCGATGAGTGCGGCAAGAAGTTCCGGTCTGTCAACCAAGCCCAGTTCCACGGCGAGAAGACGGGCCACGAGCAGTTCAGCGAATCGACCGAGGAGCTCGCGCCCCTCACGGAAGAGGAGAAGAAGCAGCGGCTGCAGGAGCTGCGCGAGAAGTTGGCAGCGAAGCGCGCAAAGCAGTCAGAGCAGGACAAGGAAGACCATAAGCGCAACGAGCAGATCCGCATGAAGGCCACAAAAGAGTCGCAGGACATCCGCGAGGAGCTACAGAAGAAGGAGCGCCTCAAGGAGGCGGCGGCCAAGCGTGCAGAGAAGAAGGCAGACGAGGAGGCCAGGAAGCGCGTGCTGGCCAAGCTCGAGGCAGACAAACAGGAGCGCAAGCGGAAAGCAGAGGAGGAGAAGGCGAAGCGTGCGGGCCAGGCTCCCCCTCCTGCGCCAGCACAAGCTCCGCTCGCCACATCGTCTGGCCCTTCGACGAGCAAGCCCGCCAGCGCATACACCGAGGCACGACTGGCGCTACAGACGCCTGGCGGAAGAGTCATGAAGACGTTCCCCGTAGAGACGACGCTCTTCGAGGTTGCACACGCCCTCGAGCAGGACGGCACCAGCGTCAGCACCTTCACGACAAACTTTCCCAAGAAGACATATGACAGGACTGACTTTGGCATGACGCTCAAAGAGGCTGGCATGGTGCCCAGCGCCGCCTTGATTGTCGGATAGACTACGACAGTCACAAAGTGCTTTCTCCGTATTCCATCAACCAGTACTGGGCGTATGGTCAAAGCATGAGAGTGGCGTTGATGATATCATGTGGGATCCCTGGTTGGTACTCTGAAGAGAGACATGTAGAAGTAGTTTGATCAAGGAGGCACAAAACACCAGCCACACTCGAGAATACTCATGAGTTACGAAGGTATATACCGTGTGGTATGCAAGGACAACGCCAGTGATGCCTCTCAAAGTCAATGTGTATCTCGACTCCCCCAAAACACCGGCATAATCCCTTGATTCATTCATTCATACTCGTCGATATCATATCGCCCCTCGGCCCTCTGCGTACTGCACCACTCCTCGCTCGCCAGCCCACGCTCCTTTCTTTTCACCAGCGCTTCGGCGTCCTTGCACCAATCACACGCAAAGTCGCACGGCGTCGGCCCCTCATCCGCAAAATACTTTGCAATAAGCTTGTGCCGACACTTGTCCGTGGCCTCGCAGTAGCCTACAAGCGCCTGCAGGCTTCTCGCGCGATTCATAAGCTGCTGTTGCTGGGCTTCTGCGCCCGCGCCCCTGGGCGGCTGCCGCAACGCGTCTCTCGACATCAAGCTCGCGGCGCGGTCGCGGTCCTCGCGGCCATAGTACAGGATACACAGCGAGGCCTTGCCGTCTCTGCCTGCGCGCCCGGCTTCTTGGTAGAAGCCCTCGAACGACTTGGGAATCTGCCAGTGCACGACAAAACGCACGTTTTCCTTGTCGATGCCCATGCCAAACGCAGTCGTGGCGACGATAATGTCGTAGCCGGCTTTGTTGGCGATCCAGCCGGACAGGGCATCTGCGCGTTCAGACACGGACAGGCCCGCATGATAGGGTTTGGCGCCGATGCCGTCGGAGCGGAGGCGCGCGGCGAGCGACTCGCAGTCTTTGCGAAAGAGCGTGTAGATGATGCCTGGGACATTGTCTGTGCGCTGGTTCTGCGAGGCGAGCTGCGAGGCGCGCTCAGGTCTGTCGGCGCGGCGGGCGTAGATGGCTCTGAGCAGAGCGACAAAATCGTCATAGTGATCTTCCTCGTCAGACTTGAAGCGTACTTCGTAGTGGAGATTGGGTCTGCTGCTGCTCATCCGGAACATGGCCACTTTCTTTGGGTCCAGCGCCAGCGTGGAAATGATATCATCTCGTACACGGGCCGTGGCTGTAGCCGTCAAGCAAATGACGGGTACGTCGGGGAATTCTGTTTTGAAAAATGACAGCTGCTGAAAGGATGGTCGGAAGTCATGGCCCCATTCACTGACGCAGTGGGCTTCGTCGACAGCGATGCGGGCCAGTTCCCGCTGAGAATGGATTATCCGCAGGATTCTGCGAAAGTGATCGCCTTGACAAAATTCCGGGGTGACGTAGAGTAGGCGAGTAAGGGGGTGGCCGCATTGAAGGTCTGCTATGATCCTATTCCTGTCTGCTGTGGGGGTTGTGCTGTTGATTGTTTCGACACGGATATTGGCATTGCGCAGCGAAGCGACTTGGTTGTTCTAGTTTCAATGAGACAGTGTCATGGAGGCGGATGGTGGGCGATATACCATGAGTGCTAGGAGCGGAGAGATGACAATTGTAACTGGGATCATCAGTACAAGCAGTCAACAAGAGAGCTTTCACATACTGCCAAAGTCAACGACTGCGGGTAGCTGATAGCACAGGCTCTTTCCGAATGAAGTGGCAGCCTGGACAAAGACATCTTGACCTTCTAACGTGGCCAAGACGATCTCGCGTTGTGGTGGTCTGGGCGACTTAGCATTGAATTCCAAACGTTGTAGAGAAGGCTACCTGAAAGCGGCTTTTTTGAACACCTTTCTCAGAGTAAAGTCAATGTTTGAGTACGGACGCTTCCTGGGCCCAGGCATGGTCCCACCACTGAGTCGTGTTCAAGATTTTGTTGCTGAGACGCTGCGCAGTTTTACGTCAAATCACGGCAAGGCTATGGCTTTTGATGGTGATTTGGGTGACGGGGAAAATTGCATGTTGGATAATACAGGAAATGGCAGGTGCCGTGCGATGGTTGGGTGGACGCGTCGACGTCAAAAGTGTGACGCGCTAGCACGTGCGTCCCACTTTGGCCAGGGCAGACTCACCATTTTGTAGTCGATTACCAACAGAGCCACACCCATGGTACTACAGCATATGGCTAGACAGTGATGCATATAGCAGACCACCCAGAACAACTGACGACCAAAACCCGAATCCTAGGTCTGGCCGATCCACGTTATTATCGGGGAGCGTTCAATTCCACCATGGCCGGAGCAGATACAGCAACACAAGCCCCGCCAGGGTTCATCATGAGAGACTTCTCTTCCTACCAGCCCAAACTACGCCCAGCACTCGCCGACAAGGTAGCCAAGCTGGAGAAGAAAATCTTCCCCGCAATCGAGCATTTCAACTACGATGTCGAGCTGAAGAAGAAGAACACGGGACTACTGCTAGTCTTCAAAGAAGACGATGCGGAAAAGCTCGTCGCGTATCTGGTGTATCAGCGGATGAAGAGGCTGGCATGGCTGCATAAGCTTTGCGTCGTTGAACAAGAGAGGGGAAAAGGCATTGCCAAGGCTCTCATACATTCGTTCCGCGCTTCCATGGAAAAAGGAGGCTGTGATACCATTTTTCTGTGGGTGGATGAGAGCCGGCAGCCAGCGAGAGCTTTGTACACAGCATGTGGCTTCCAGCAATCCGAGCGCCGCCCGCATTACTATGGACCCGGGCGGAACGCTCTGAAGCTGGAGTTGGCAATTGTCGAGTGAGCCTGTCTCACATGCACATGCAGCACCTTCACGCCTCTTTCGCAAGTTGTGCTCATCATATCCAAGGTCTTCAAAAGAAGGGAATATGGCTCTATTTCATTCTGCTCGTAAGCGTTCACGGCCATATTCATTCATTGATTTCTAATCATTTTTGGCACACTCAGGCGCGGTGAATAACTATCAGGCAGTCCCTCATATTGTCCAGATCGCCGCCCAATCCACGCCAATACGCCGTTATCAATGCAACTCCGCCCAAGCGATAATTTATAATTGAATGTCGTTGTTCAACAACCGCACCTCCTCGCCTGGCTTGAAGGCCGGTAAGCCAATGTACGGACATCCGTCACACCGGAACGCGTCACCTAGCGCACAGTTTCCGCAACTGCCAACCTTTCCTTGTACCGTAAAGTCCACTTCGGCAAGGTCGTCGGCGTCTAGTTTGAGCGAGTTGAGCGCCTTGTCGGCGGCTGAGCGGCGTGCGGCGTCTTCGGCTTCAAGCTTCTCCTTCATGCCGCAAGTGCAGTCCTTGCAAGCGCGACGTCGCTTTCCAGGTTTGGGCTGGCACTCGGGCGCTGTAGTCTGTTAGTTCGAAGAAGCCAGACGCAAGGAACGGGAGAAATACGTTGAATGACTGGCCGCGCCAGGTCTGCTTCGGTGATGAATTCGTCTTCGTCGATTAGGTCATCCTCGCCGGTGATGACAGGATCGTCGAGGTCATCGCTAAAGTCTACAAAGCCCACGCCGTTGGGCTTGGCAGGCTGCGGCTCGTTGCGTTTGCCGTTGAGGCTGAGCGGAACTGAGCCGTCTGGATTGACAGTGCCGTTTGTTCCATTCGCGCCTTTCTTCTTGCCAAACTTGAGCGGTATTGACACGGCTTCTTCGTCCTTTGGCTTTGTCATGCCCTCTGCCGTTTCCGCGAGCCCTGCAAGAATGGCCTCTGTTTTCTCAGTGCCCTGCAGTGGACCAGCCTGGCTCTTGAGCACTCCCCCAGCCTTCAATGCGCTGACTACTTTGTTCATGACATCGCGTGCCAGTAGTTTGTGGCTTTCGCGCGTTGTGCCGTCGGCGTCGGCGAGGAGGAGAACGATGTCGTAGGTGGAGACGGGAAGATTGACCAGGCCAGCAGCGATACGGTCGATCATCTGCAAGTCTGTCGAGGTGCGATCATGGATTTCGTAGACTTTGTCTAGCTGCTCTGGGTGCGCCGCGATGGACGGCGTACCGATCAGTAAGCATCGCGGCATGGCGGGGTACAGTCGTTTGTCGATGGAGGGGTAGCGGAATCACGCAAAATCAATCCGTTGCTTCGGGGCGAGTATGAAGCAGAGAAGTTTGCGGGAGAAAGGCGAAGTAGAGGCTCAGAGGCGCGCCCGGGAAACTTTTCTAGACAGAGATAGTAGTCATTGGCCTGCGGTTTCGGAAGCGGCGAAAGCGCAGTTGCTGATGCAAGCAACAATTCCGCGGCGATTGGTCATACGATTGCGGCCGCGAGCGAGGTGATGAACACGTGATCCGAGGGCGCCCACGTGACTCAGAAGTGGGCTGGTGGGCGCATCACCTTGGGCCTTTCTGGTAAACCTTCCGCTTCCATCACTCGCCAACCCCGGCAGCAGAGCGCGTGCAAGGAGCGGCAGAGCACTAGACATTACCCTTGCTCTTGCGGCTATGCTGCCCGCCTCTCTTGCTCCTGCTACGCCTCCAAGGTTGGATGCTCGGAGTAGCAAAAGCCGCTCTAACTGCGGTCGGGTAGCGCTGTTCGCCTTCTGTCGAGAAGGTGGTGTGCGCATGACCTTGGCTGGTGTGAGTGGGGCCCGTGCATTAGCGTTTAGGGGGGATGTCTAGAATCCGGGGTAAGCAACGCAGGTCGCTGAGGCCGTGAAGCAGCCATGAGGCAGCAGAATGCGCAGCGGCAGAGCGTCTTTTGCACGCACTGGGAGGTGGCGAGATGGGCAATTGCAGTCGGATACCAGGTCCAAACCATGGGCGTCTAGGGCATGCGTCTCAGCTGTTGTTCGGGGCACGCGACCCGCATCCAGCGCGCCAGGTACCGGTGACGTACCCGCACCCCCTCCCCCCCCCTGTTCCGTTCTCACAAAGTA